CCGCGCGCAGCCCTGGCGGCGCGCGGCCGCCCGCGCCTGGCGAGACTCTTGCTCCTCCTTCTCCTCCTCTTCCTCCTCCTCCCCCTTCCCTCTCCTCCTCCCTCCTCCTCCTCCTCCTCCTCCGCCTCCTCCTCCTCCTCCTCCTCCTCCTCCTCCTCCTCCTCCTCCTCCTCCTCCTCCTCTTGCAAATTCTGAGCTGAAGGATCACAGCCAGACTGCGCGGATCGGGCCCCGCAGTGCGCGACGCGCGGCCGTCTTCGAGCCCTCGCGCCGCCGCCCTGGGGAAGGGCAGCTGTCCAACCCGGGCCGCGATGCGCGAAGGGCGTTTTTTTTTTTTCGCGCCCCCTCGGGTGGCCTAAGACTACTGGGCCACATGGTGAAAACGACCCACCATCCATCCGTGAAACTTCTGCAAACTTTGAAAACGAAAACAAATGTGCGCGGCGCTCAAGCGAGAGACGACCTGCCCTCCATCGGTGAAGCTTCTGCAAATTGCAAATGCTCAGATCAAGGATGATATATGGTGAGGAAGTCTCCGGCGAAATGACCCGCCCGCCCTCCCCGCCGGTAACGGCGGCGACAACAACGACGACGACGATGACGACGCCGCCGCGGGTAAACGATGTTTTTGGATTGCGTTGCTGAGCAGTGTTCGGGTTCTTGACAACTGACTTTCTGGTTTTGTCTTGGCCCCCCCCTCTGTGTGGGCGGCGGCCCGTCCTGTCGTTGTATGCTGCGGCGGCACGAGAGCTCCCTGGCCATATACCTTTGGCAAGCTGGTTAAAGTTTCATATCCCGTCCTTGATCTGCGGCTTGCATGGATTGGCCAGGTTCCTGCGGGCTCCGCCCTCCCTTGCACACGCACACACACACACGTAGCCACAGCTGCTGCCAAAGGAAATAGGAGAATAGGAATGTTGTGGCTCGGGCGAGGAAAGCGCTCCCCCACCTGGAGCCTCCAGCGGGCTCCAGAGACCTGTCCGATGGGCCCGTTCGGTCCAGGATCGGAAATTTGGCAGCAGGGGGTCGGCAGCCATGGCAAGACGCGCGACCTCCCCCAAACGCGACTCAGACACACCGAACCCGAGGTTTGGGCCCCTGCTTGCCCTTGTTAATTCCGGTCGGGCAGTGCGCACTGGTGGCCAATGCTTTCTGGAAGACACTGGGGCGGGGCGAACCAAGCTCCGCCCGGGCTGGGGTTGCTCAGCTTGGGCCCTGGTCTGGTGATCCTCCTGCATAACATGCTCTAGAACAATGCAAAAGCGCTTCCTGACTCTGGCCGCTGTCTTCTCTAATGCGCGCACCCTCTCTACCTGGTTGAGGTGCAACTGGAAAGCCTGGGTGGCCTGAGATGCATGGATAAAAGCTTATGAGCCTCGATGCACAGGGCAGGAAACTCACGATTTAGGGATCTCTAAGCGGCGGCGTGGCTCTCAACTCCATGGCAAAAAAATGCGGCGCCTGGAGAGGGCGACGATTTGAACTCTCTTTCCACGAGTCACGGTTCGTTCTGGGTTTGCTGGTGTTGGGCCGCTCCACGCCGCGCACCGCATGCGCTGAGTCGCGAATCTTCGATCCAACTGACGAGGGCGAGCAGCTCGGAGCGACGGCTGGATCGCCGTGGTTCTGGGGGACTTCCCTCGGCGCCTCGCGCGGCCCCGTTTGGCCCCAAGCGCGGCCCTGACGCAAGGCAGCAAGATGGGCAAAAGGCCCATCCACACCGACGGAGGCAAGGGTCTTTGGCGCGGGCCGCTCGAGCTGCCCCCCCGCCCCCCAACTGGGCCCCAGAGCCGTGGGAAGATCTGCGACCGGGCTGGGCCTCCCACGGCCGCGATTGACCATCCTCGAGCGGAGGGTCCACGCTGGTCCGTTCACTCGGGATCGAGCCTCGGGGCCAGAAACATGGGCGCTCTCCATGCGTGAAGGCGACGCTGCTGCACTTGCAGGCCTGCCCGCTGACGAATTCGACCCAGCCCGAGTGCTCCAGGTCAGGCAGTGCAACACTCCACCCTCCCAAGGCTATCCAGTCGCCCGTGAGGCCCCGAATTGCTGCGTCCAGGTGCCGTAGTTTGGTCAGGTAGTGGCCCGTCAGGCCAATGGAGGTAGTGAGGTAGACGATAAGGACTGTAAGCTGGCCGCGCTTCATCTGGATGGCCATGGTCTGGAAATCCCAGAAATCGATGGGTCCCGCAGGGAACTGCTGTTCAGGTCGGCGGTGGCGTAGTCGACGTTTGGTCTGGCTGCGGCAACGCGCGAGATGTCCCAGGGATGCGCTCTGCAACTGGCACCCCACTCCCTAGAAAATCCACCTGCTTGCTTTACTGGGCCATCCGCTGAAGATGGCGAGATGACTGCCTTCCAAGCAGCTGCGTCAAACTCGGCAAGCACCATATCACTGGTGCACTCGCCCTCGCGCGCCTCCATGAGCCCAACGACGTTTGCCTGGTAATGGTGCACGAATCAGGTTCTTGCATGTTGACCCAAGTCGGTGGTGTTCCTGACGTAGATGACCCGATAACTTTCATCCTGGGGTTGACTCAAGGCTGGGTTTGTCTTTGGCTCTGGCTCGCTGGGGGGCTTCCTCGGCGGCGGTGGCTGAGGCCGCTGGGGCCTGTGCTGCGGTTCCAGGTGGCGCGCCAGATCCCGATGAACCTGAGGAAGGCTGGCCCTGACCCCCAGGAGTCCCGCCAGCAGCCCCAGCACTGTCCACACCAACCTTGTCGCCGTCCCCCTTATTGTGGTTGGTGTCGTTCTGGTCGGGGTCCGCAGTGCGCTGGGGCTTGGCAGAGAAGCGTTTGCGCATGGCCTCCAAATCGGTTTTCCTTTTCTGAATGGTTGTAGCCCCCGAGCCGAAGACCTCTTGGACTTTGGATTTGAGTTCGTCCATAAAACGGGCCTTGAGGTCGCTCCATTGCTGCATCTCGCTGTCGTCGAGCTCAAGGTTAGTGGTGTCCGAAGACCCGCCCTCGGACAAAATCCTCCTCTCCAATGGGCAACTATTTGGGGATGATGCCCCCTGCCGCTGTTGACGTCGCTTCAGCACTGGCGTGGCCCCTCGCTGCATTGATGGTGGCGAGCGTGGCCTGGAACTCGCGGGCCGCTGAAATAGCCTCGGCAAAAGACTGGACGTGCGACTCGCATGCGCCCACCCACTCCCTGGCCGTGTTCGCGGCTTTGTCCAGGGCTGCGACAGCCTTGCGCTCGGCCGCGAGCACTCGCTGGCACTTGGCATCGAGGGTCTCGGTGTGGGCGGGCTTGCGGGCATGGTCTTCTCCTTGAACTGTGCGAGCGCCTCCTGGCTGTCGTCGCTGAGGCTCTTGTCAAGGATGGCGAGCATGGTGCCACGTCGGAAGGCGGTTGGTCAGATGGATCGGACCATTGAACACGGCGGCGGCGGCGGCCCCCCTTGGATTTGGGCCACTCATCTCAGCTCTGTCATCCGACCGTCGTCGTAGGTGTCGAGACCCATACGCCTGAGGGAGACCTCCACAGCGGCGCGGGCTGCAGCTCGAGGGGCTTCGCACTCTCGAAGCATTTTTCGCGGCCCTTCCAGTTCCACTGGTGTGCGCAGGACGCACACCTGATGAAGGCAGCATCCTGCTTGGGCATGTGGGCTCGAGGCTTGCTCCTCGCGGGGCCAGGTGCATGCGCGCGCCCGGGGCGGACTGCGCGGCGGGGAAGGAAGCGTGCGGGGCGGACTGCGCACAAGAACTGGAGACTGGCCGCGGACTGGTGGTGTCCACGGGCTGCCGCTGGGGAAGCCAAAAACTTGAGCCAGAATGGCTTTGGAGCCCCCCGCCCGCCGACAAACGACGACGACGACGACGACGACGACGACGACGACGACGACGTCGAGGGCAGCGCCCTCGCTGCTCCCCGTCCTCCTCGCTCCTCTGTCCTCCTTTTTCGCTTCTCGTCCTCTCCTCCTTCCTCCTCCTCCCTCCTTCCTCCTGCCTCCTTATTTTTCTTTCCTCCCTCCTCCTTCCTCTTCTTTCCCCCTCCCTCCCTCCCTCCTTCCTCGTTCCTCCTTCCTCCGACCTACTTCCTCCTCCTACTTCATCCTCCTTCCTCCTTCGTCGTCCTACTCACTTATTCACTCCTTCCTTCTCCTTCCTCCTCCTTCCTGTTCCCTCTCCTCCTCAGGACTCAGGACTGGTGGCGTTGGGCTTCGGTGATGAACCCTACTATCCCCCTTTTTTCGCGGCGATCGCCGCGGGGGTCATGATCAAACTAGGTAGCTGCGAGGTAGGGCATATCCGGACGTGTCTGCACGCGGCCAGGGCGTTTCGCCTGCGAACTCCTCACCGCCAGACTGCGCGGGTCGCGCGCCACAATGCGCGACGCGCCGGCCGTCTTCGCGCCCTGGCGCCGCCGCCCTGGAGAAGGGCAGCTGTCCAACTTGGGCTGCGATGCGCGAAGCGCGGTTCTTTTCGCACACCCTCGGGTGACCCAGACTATCGGGCCGAAGCATCTGGCGCGAAGCTCCCCACCCATTCACCAGCCAGGTCGGCCTGAGGATGAGGACCGGGGGCGCTTTCGAACGTCTTTTGGATGCTGTTGGCCCCGTCGGGCCTCCGGAGGCCTCTGGGACCTCCGGGGGCGTCCGGGGACCTCACGGGCGACCTCCGAAGACCTCTGGGAAGAGGCTGGCCAGCGCGTCATGGCCAGAGGCACGTGCGCGGACGAGAGAGGGCCAGGGGGGCGCACCGAGAGAAGAGGATGGGGCACAGAAGCGTGGGGGGACGGCATGGCCCCGGCCATGCAATATCTGAGCATCTACGCCCCCCCCAGTCCTTACCCCCCTCTTCCGCGCCCCCGACGCCGTGTTGCGAGGCGGGGGTTGTAGGCACGCCTACTGCCGAGGGGACTGGCGTCCGGGGACCCCAGGGGGCATCGGATCTGGATATACCGGGGGCCCAGCAGGGGGGGCGAACATGTCGGCATTCGCCGCCTCCCGAGGTCGACGAAGATCGGTCCAGTTCCCCAGGCGGTAGATACGTACCAGTCCCAGCCTCGGAGGTATGTGCCAGACCAGCTTGATGCACGCCGCCGCGGGTGTGCTGGTAGGCGCGGAAGCGTGCATTGATCTGGCCTGGTGCACAGCTGGCATCGCCCAGAGAAACCGACGTGCGGGCGTTGCATCGGCGGGGCGTGAGAAGACATCATCTGTCTCTTGGCTGCGCGCAGGAGGGGGTCCAGGATCGAGTGACAAAGATATTGGACGCTTTCGGACGTCTCTGGCCCTTCTGGGCCTCCAAGGGCGTTCTCGTGGCCACGTCTGAGCGCACCTCGACAAGCCGGCCTGGGTGGACTCCAGGAGGAGCCTGGGAGTGACTCTGAGCAGATTTGAGTTGTACGGGCACGGGGATCAGCCTTCTAAGAAGGCAGGGGGCTCTTCGGAAGGGAGCGGAGACTTCTGAGAGGGCCCCGTAGAAGGCAGGAAGGCATCTAAGAAGTCCTTTCTAGCGTCTTAGAGGGCGACCACCCTCGTCCCACCCCCATGTGCGCGCAACCAAGTCTCACCAACGGAGATCGGGCGACCGGCGTTCGGGCAAGCGCGGACGCACCTCCAGGAGGTCTCGAGCCGCAAAACGTCTGCGGAGGGCGGCGGGTGGGGAGAAGAGACAAGGAGAAGGGCAGCACGGCCGTTGAGCACGTGCGCACAACTGCAATATTCCGATCGGGGTGACGGCGCCGCTCCGACGCCGCAATCCTGGAAGAGACGCTCATGATGCGCGCGGCAACTTTCCCGTCATGGCAGGGTGAGGGCGCAGATCCCGTGGGGCGTCCAAATTGCGACGGTTGCAGCCGTTCGCGTCCGACCACCCAAGGATGCAACCCGCCGCGAAGCCACTCTTGAGGGATGGCCAGCGAAATCTGCCACGGGCGGGCCGAAGTGACAAGGGATGCAAGGGTGTCCTTGGCACGTCACCTAATCCTCGTAGCGGCCCCGACTGAAAACTTGAAGCAGTGTTACTCGAGGAAGTCTTCCCCCTAATGGGGTTCTGCGGGCACGTGCGGCGAGGTGGATTGACCTGGTCGGTGCAAGCACCGCTTTGGGGGGAAACAGCTAAAACGTACATAAACCAAGATCATTGATCTTCGATCCTCGTATCTCCCCTCCCTCACCCTCCCCTCTCCTCCTGCTCATCCTGGCCTCCTCCCCTCCTCCTCCAACTCCTCCTCCAACTCCTCCTCTTCCTCCTCCTCCTCCTCCTCCTCCTCCTCCTCCACCCTCCTCGTCCTCATCCTCCTCCTGCTCCTCCACCTCTTCCCCCTTCCTCTTCACCTCCTGTTCCTTCTCCCTTCTCCTTCCTCCTCCCTCCTCCCTCCTCCTCATCATCCCTCCATCTTTCAGTCCTCGCACTTCGAAGTAACCCCCTGTCGCACCAACAAACGTGTCCGTGGGCTGGGCCGGACGTTTCGCTTTAGACTTCTTTGCAGCTCACTGCACTATAAAGATCCAACTGTCACATGGATCGAGGGCCAGTCGTTTTCAAAATGCGGCTCTTGCCCAAGCGCCGCCCACATGCGCCCAAAAATGCGCACCTATTACAAAAGGATGGAGGGCTGGTAGTCTTGTTTATGCCACTCGCAGTAGCGCCACGCGCACTCGTCTTAAGAGCTTCCAACAGCTACAAGGATAGAAAGCCGGTCGTTTTCAATGTGTGGCTCCCGCCTCAGCCCCGCGCGCATTCGCCTCAAAGCCTTGCAAGAGTTCTGAATATTGAGGGCGGATCGTTTTCAATATGAGCCTGAGGCTCTCGCTGGAGACGTCCTCAATGTTCCGCAGTTCCATCTTGTGCAACAATTCCACAAATTGGGGACGGCTCATTTTTCCCTACCGGCTCTGCCTAGAAGGGTTCTTACTCTGTTGGCTTCAAGGGGCCGGGCAGTGGAATGCGCCCCGGGCGGTTCCCCCGGTTGCGCTCCCTGGGTGCTCAGCAAAAGCAAAAGCAAAGGCAAAAGCAAACGCGCGGTTCCCCCAGTTGCGCTCCCTGGGTGCCAAGCCAAAGCAAAAGCAAAGGCAAAAGTGAAGGTAAAAGCGAAGGCAAAGCAAAAGCATAGCATAGCATAGCATAACATAGCAGAGCGCAGCATAGCATAGCGCAGCATAGCATAGCATAGCATAGCATAGCCTAGCCTAGCCCAGCATAGCATTGCGCAGCATAGCATAGCATAGCATAGCATAGCATAGCATAACATAACATAGCGCAGCACAGCACAGCATCCACTACGCTATATATACACTTATATGTGTGTGCGCGCACGTATGTTCCATGCATGTTGTCTGTCTGTGGGCCATCTTGAGCCCTTAGTGGGGCAGCTTGAGCCCTTAGGATTCACAAAGGTTTCGCACATAGCACCGGCCGGGAGACATGACATCCGACGGATTATCGCATGTCCTAAATGTCTTTCTATATCTGCAAGTATGTGTATACATATATATATATATATAAGTAGATATAGGTGTCGATGTAGATGTAGGTGTAGATATAGATGTAGATGCAAAGAACTCCCCAGTGCCCCGCCCTCATCTCCGTGCCTGCTTGCTTTTGCTGCTGTCTCGGCGACTTGCTGCCTGCTTCTGCTGCTGCTTCACTTACGGCGTGGCGTCGGCGGTTCTGGCGCTACTACTACTACTACTACTACTACTACTACTACTACTACTACTACTACTACTACTACTACTACTACTACTACTACTACTACTACTACTACTACTACTACTACTACTACTACTACTACTACTACTACTACTACTACTACTACTACTACTACTACTACTACTACTACTACTACTACTACTACTACTACTACTACTACTACTACTACTACTACTACTACTACTACTACTACTACTACTACTACTACTACTACTACTACTACTACTACTACTACTACTACTACTACTACTACTACTACTACTACTACTACTACTGCTACTGCTACTGCTACTGCTACTGCTACTGCTACAACTACGAAGATGAGGAGAAGGAGGAGGACGGCGTTTACCGTTTCTACTAATGTTGCTTCCCTAGAGGCTCCAACTCCTAGGTAGGGTCGCACTGGGATAATTCACAGTTGGGCTGTCACTTGAGATTTCAGCACACTTCATGGCCAGAACAGAACATTGAAATTATGCAGCACTTACACGAACGGAGGGCAGATCCTCAAAAACTGGTGTGCCGCTGAACTCCGCCCTGAACTTTATCATTATGTCCCTATTCGTTTCTTTTGGCTAGAAGGATGGATGATGGATCCTTCGCATCACAGGGTCTCCCCGGAGTGGCAAACCCGCCAGGCGCTCGTCATTCACGGGGGGCGCCTCCCACAGTGGAAGGGAATACTCGTAGGGTCTTAGGAGGAAGGGACTGAGGAAGGGACTTGGGACTGGAGGGTCTACCGCAGCATCGCTGACGCATCCTGAGTTTACTCTGATACTCCTCCCTCCTCGCTGCTCCCTCCTCGCTGCTCCCTCCTCCTCCTCCTCCTCCTCCTCCTCCTCCTCCTCCTCCTCATCCCTCCTTTTACTCCTCCTCCTTTTCCTCCTCCTCCTTTTCTCCCTTCTTCCCCCGTCCTCCCCCTCCCCCCATCCATCGCGGCATGAACCCGACGCCTCTTCCGACCGCCACTGCCAGTGTGATTCGTGGCCCGGCCTGCTGGCGTCTATGAAACGCCCATGCACACACCACTGGCAGAAAGAGGCGGAAGAGGAGGACCGCATGGGCGTTATCCGCCACCGTGCCTCGAGGCACGAAGTGGAGTGTCCTCGGGTCCTCTGAAGTTCCCTGTTCTCTGTGCCTAGAAGTATGGGGTTATAGCATTTTTAAAGGCTGGGGCCCCAAATTCTCTTTTCCGGGGCGTTTCCGCACGTTCTTGAGCTGCCCCGAGTGACTCCTCCAGAAGCCAGAGGGCCCCACGACGGGCCAAGAGGGCCCCAGAAAGCGCCCAAGAGGGTCCCAGAGGCCTCCCAGGACAGCCCAGGAGCGCTCCAAGACGCCCGAGATGGTCCCAAGACCGCTCCGCCGGCGGACCCGCCCAAGAGCGTGCCTCCGCCGGCGAACCCGCCGCCGCTTTACTTCTGCCAGCGTCCGCTGGACGTCCGCCAGCTTCCGCCGAAGGTGGAACTGACCGAGGGGAGGTCAGTTCCTGGGGCGCGGGTGTCCAGGCACCGCCCCCGGAAGCATCAGCGGCCAAAATGAACAGATACGCAACAGATCCAATTAGGGAGCCCACAAAGGACGTACGCGCCCAGCTATGTACATGAACACGGCCCCTCGATCTGCGAGACCGGCCGCGTGATGCGAATTTTCGGGCGATGCGTACTCTCGAAACCAGCGAGGATTCATGTACGTGTACGTCCTTCTTTCGCTCCTGACCAATGTCGAGCCATGCTCTGGGGTGGCCCTTTCCCGACAGCTGCTGCTCTGTGAATGGTGCTGGGCCGCAGGCCACTGGACAGAGGTGGCACGGTGTCTTTTCCCTGCTCCAGTCTCGAGGTGCCCGTCAAGCCGTTCTAGGATAGTGGTCGGCCTGCCTTCGTGCGCCCCTCGGCTCCCTCTTTAGGGAGCCCACAAAGGACGTACGCGCCCAGCTATGTACATGAACACGGCCCCTCGATCCGCGAGACCGGCCGCGTTATACGAACATTTGCGCAATGCGAACTCTCGAAACCAGCGTGGATTCATGTACATGTACGTCCTTTTTCCGGTCCTCCCTCGTGGCCTTCCCAAAGCCTCCTGATCCTCCTTCAGGGTCGGCGGAGCCGGCCGCGAGACCTCTCCAATACTACGTTCGAAATGGTGCTGCTCATCTGGCGCCTGCATGTCTCGAGACTGCGATTGCCCCGTCTTGCTACACGGTTGCGGCATCTCGTCTTCCGCGTCCGCGTACGCTGCCCACCGTTTGAATCAACGCGCTTGCTTCCATGATTGGCCAATGTACACAAATGAAGAAGAGCATGATGATGAGAAGGAGGAGAAGGAGCAGGAAGAGGAGAAGGAGAGAGAGAGAGAGAAGACGGGAGAGGAGAGAGGAAGGAGACGAACAAGGAGGAGAAGGAGGAGCAGGAGGAGGAGGAGGAGGAAGAGGAGGAGGAGGAGGAGGAGGAGGAGGAGGAGGAAGGGTGATGAGTCGAAGCTCGAAGGGGGAGGAAGAGGAGCAGGAGGAGGTGGAGGAGGACGAGGAAGGGGAGGTGAGAATCTGAGCGAGGAGCGGAAAGAGGCGAATATAGCCATGGCCTGAGCGGCATTTCAGCGCACGCAACCCCAGAATGTCCAGGTAACGGCACAGCGGCGCGTCCACGTGGAAGAGGCGCTTCTGGGTGTCGAAAAGCTGCCCGCTCCTTCTGCGGGGCACGTCTTTCGGGGGAGGAGGAGGAGGAGGAGGAGGAGGAGGAGGAGGAGGAGGAGGAGGAGGAGGAGGAATCGCACCCCTGAGGACGAGCGGATTCTTCGCAACGGCGGCTCTTATTCGAAGGTCGACCTCGAGGCACAACCTGACAGCCTTCAAGGGATCTCGGGACAGAGCTTCACCAGTCACCTTTTTACTGCTCTCGGCCACCAGGCAGAGGAGAAGGAGGAGTCCGCTGTCCTTCAAGGGGGGCCATCCCGAACTCTCCCAGCGCGAGCGAGGCCGACCGTCAGGCATCGAAAGCAAAACCAGGACAGCGAACACGACATCAATGCAACGGCCGGTACATGTTGCTCTCGTTGCCTTGCGGCCGGCTCCTCAATCGGGGGGACGTAAGACTCGGGCTCGGGGGACTTGGGTTGGCTGGCCGGCCCGATGAGACCATCATGGAAATGGCGAGACCCAGTATGAACTTCGACGCGAGCTCCCGCTGCAGACACCCCACGAAAACCGGATCGTCAAAACCCAAGACGCGCTCGCCCAAAAATGCCGGCAAACCCCGGTTCCGGCGAACTCGAGTCTTGCGCTTCCCCGCCTCCACCCGGGACGTGGCGGGCACCCAGGAGCCCAGGCGGCGGGAGCACGCCGCGGCGGCCGCCCCCTCCGCGGGCCTGCGGCCTCCGGGGACCGGCCTTGGGCCTACGAGCTGCAGGGGCTCGCGGCGCGACGGAGAGTGGGCCCCGGAGACGGCGTCGCCAGCCAGGGTGGCCACGGGCTCGAAAAAGTCACGACGCCAGCAGCCTGGGGAGGCAAACCCCTGCCCCCCTCGTGCCCCCCTGCTCCTCCTCCTCCTCCTCCTCCTCCTCCTCCTCCTCCTCCTCCTCCTCCTCCTCCTCCTCCTCCTCCTCCTCCTGGCAAGTACCCTGGGGTGCCACCGAGTTCGTTCTCAATCCCCTTGCAGTAGCCCTTGAAACTCCACTCTAACCTGAGGAAGAGCGGAAGTGACCTGACCCAACGGCGGGTTTGAAGGGGCAAGATGCGTGTAGAGAATGTGGCCAAAAGCAAGGAAGTGTCATGCTTCTCCTCCTTCTCCACCCATCCCCCTCCTTCTCGGAGCACCGGGTCGGCGGCACTGGCCGCGAGGCCTTCCCAATCACGGCGCTGGCAATCTGGGGATGCATGCGCTACAGCGCTGCTACGAGCGCGTACGACAGCGCAACCAGACAGCAAAACCATCTGCGCAACTCCACTCTTCGATGGCATCGGCACCTGCTCCAGGCCCAGCCTGGCCCCCTCTCGAGTGGCGAAGCGGAGCGCCGCGAGAGGGGCCTGCGCGTGCGTACCGTTTTCGGCCGCGCGCTGCGATGTGGCGGACGAGGAACGGCATCAAAGAAACTTTTCTGCCATCGTGGGCGCCTGTGCCAGGGCGGCTGGAAAGCTTGTACCCGATGTGCCACGGCTGGGTTATACCGGATGTACCAGGAAGCTGAAGCACACACATACACACACACACCTAGCTGGATACACGCGTAGAACATCTGGAGGCCACGCGCTGGATACCCACGCAGAGGTCAGGCGCCAGCAGCCACACGATGGCCGAGCGCTGGAAAGGCTGGCGGCTGCACGTGTGTATCCAGCGCTCGCCCAGGCCGGCCGCGGCATGTGCATCCAGCTGCCCTCGGAAGCTTCCCGTCCGCCCTGGGAGAGGCGCCCCCCCCTGGTGGCGCAAGCTCTCATCTCACGCCCGCCTTCGGCCGCGCGCTGCGACAGCAGAGCGCCGACGTGGCCCTATGCCGAGGGGGCGAGGGCGCGGTGGGCTGCCCGCGCGGGGCGCGGCGCCCGCCGCCCGCGCCCCATGCGCCAGTGCGGGCCGACGCCGGGAGCGCGGGAACCACCGGGAACCACCGCGCGGGAGGCGCCTGCCCGCGCGCCCGGACGGGGCCATCCTGGGCCGCGGCACGGTGCGCACCGCCCTCGCGGCCGAGGCCCTGCAGGGTCTGCACGCCGTCCTCGGGCTCGGGACGGGCCCGGCCAGGCAATGGCGCCTCCCGGCGGGCCCACCCTGCTGAGGGCCGCAGACAGCACGCGCGGAGAGGCTGCCCTGTGGGACGGCCTGGCCGAGGGCCAGCGCGCGAGCGAGCCGCCGCCCTGCAAAAGGCGCCAGCCGCGAGCCGCGATGCGCGAAGCGCGGTTACCTTCGCGCCCCCATCTGATGACCTAGCACTATCGCGTCGCGCTCGACAGCCGGGGGACCCCAGCCGGCCCGCACCCACACTCTTTGGCCGTGCGCCAGATCAGTTCAATACGAGCTTCCGCGCGTGCTCGCACACGCGCGCGACAGCGTGTATCGAGCTGGTCTGGAACACGGCTGGCGCCGTCCACGCGAACTCTCTGGCGCGCAGCCGAGCCTCCCGCCGCCGAGGTCGACCCGCCGGCTTGGCGAGGGCCGCAGTGCCAGACGAGGCCCGCCGCGCAGCTCGGCCAGCCCTGGCCGCAGGGCGGGCGGAGGAGAACATGCGCGCGCGCCCCGCGATGCGCGGCGCGACTGCTGTCTAGGCGCCCTGGCGAGGCCACCTTGGAGAAGGGCAGCTGTCCCGCCCAGGCTGCGACGCGCGAAGCGCGATGGTCTTCGCGCCCCTGCGGGTGACCTGGGCTATCGGGCTCGGGGGGCCATCAAAATGAGGATCCGGGACGAAAAGAGAGAGGCCACGTTACTCGGGGCTTCGGTGTCGTGTGGGGTGGCTGATCGTTGCGAGTGGTGCAACCATAGCAGCGAATCTCAAACGTTCAGTCATACTCATAGCTCCTTTGTCGATGGGAAAGAGCATCGCTGGACGTTTGGAAGCGGGTCCAGGAAACCAGCCGCGGGCCCCTTGCGCGGAATCGTGGTACTGGCTCTGGGGACCCTGGAGGGCCCGAGTATCCCGAAGACGGAGAAGACCTCAGGGCCCGTTTCCCTCCGTTTCCCTCTGTGCCCCTGCTGCGTTCAGCTGCCCAGGTACGCAACACGAAACACGTACCGTATTGACACGGAGCTCAACACGCAGACTGCAAACGTGCGTTAGGCGCGATACGATTGGCTAACTACCAAACCACCCCGACCCAACTCGAAGACCACAATTTCGGGTCAGGAGGGGGTACGAGTTCAACATGTGCTTGTTCAATGTTCCTCGACGCTCCCCCCACCACTGGGAATGGAGGGCAGACTGGGGCCTTCAGGTCGGGTTGGGGTGGTTTGGTGAGTGGTGAACAATCGCCCAAACGTGGGCCGTCACGCGGACCAAGCACGCAGCGTGTTAACACGGACGTTTTGAATACGGCACGTATTGCGCTTCAAGGCGTGCGTATCAGGACAGCCTGCTGTGTGCTCCCCCGACGGTGGGAGTCGGGACTGGCTTGCTGCTGGCCCTCCAAGCTGGAGCCTGGAGCCCACGCAGGCTACAGGAATTCAGGAAAACGCTGTTTGAGCATTCACTTTCGATGTCCGCGCGGATTTCTTGGATCTGCGCTGGACCCCCTCCCTGGCGCGCGCCAGAATGCGCCAGATCCGAGAAATCCGCGCGGTTCTTCGAAAGTTTATGTTTTCTTCTCCGGCGGAAGACAGCGGCTCTGAAGATTAGCTCCGTTCCTTGTTTGCGCCGTCCAGCCGTTGCTGCCTATGCCGATCCTGTACGCTCATGCCATACACCTTAGGCGATGCTTACGAAAACCTATGTTTTCGTCCAGAGTCTCGATTATTCTTAACTTTTCAATGTAAATCCTAAGATTTTGATAGAAGTTCTGGGTTTTATTCAAGTTCTGAGACTATGAATTTCTTAACCCATGATTTCTTAAGCATTTCGCAGGGTGTACTCATCTTCGTGCCGTTCCTTTGCCGACTGTCACACGCCGACCCCTCTTGCCCGCGAGGCGACCGTCGGGGGGGCTCCTGGCGGCTTCCCCGTCGCCGGCCGAGGAGGTCGGCCAGGCGGTCTGCGGGGGCGCAGGCGGCGGGGGCTCGTGGCGGGCGGCGGGGGGGCGGCAGGGATTGGCGGAGGGGATGTGCGTTTCCTCCTCCTCCTCCTCCTCCTCCTCCTCCTCCTCCTCCTCCTCCTCCTCCTCCTCCTCCTCCTCCCCCCCCCTTCCTCCTCATCCTCCTCCCCCTCCTCCCCCCCTCTCCCCCTCCCTCTTCCCCATCCTCCTCCCCCTCCTCATCCTGCTCCTCCTCCTCCTGGGCGGAGGAGATGAGGCGGAGGTGGGGCGGCGGCGGGATGGAGGGATTGGCATGGGCGGGCGGAGGGGATGGGTTAGGGATGGGCAGAGGGGATGGGCAGAGAGTCATCCGCCGCGGTGCCGTGCGGTAGACATGGTGAGGGGCATATGCTGAGCGTGTCGCGGGCGTGGCGGCGGCCCTGGTGACACGCTACGCCTTGCAAGCGGATAGCGAGGCTCGGAGGCTCGGACCGTTGACGCTTGGGGAATGGGATGTGATTAGCGCGTCGCGCCGAAGCGTGGTGGGCCAGAATTGGCGGCACGACAGCTGTTTAGCGGGATGCTCACTAATGCTCTTCAAAGGGCCCAGAACCCAGTTGCCGGATCAACGCACTTTTCGGGCGCCGCGCGACTCTTTTGGAGGCCTCAAACCGAACGCCCTTGTGCTTCTCAAGTGGTGAGTTCCCGAAACCCTGAACCCAAAAAGGTCGGCATCTCTTGGATGGGCGGTGCCTGATTCCGCCGCCTTCCGCCGAGCTTCCGCCGCCTTCCGCCGGCGGAGGCGCCCTCGTTTTACACCGCCGTCCGCCAGCGAAAGCATAGACCTTCTTCCCTCTCTCTACGGGCCCCCGAATATGGCCGGACATCCGGCGCGTGCCCCCCCCGACGCCGACCAGGGCATCCCGAGGACGACGGAGAACGGCCGACGTTTGCGGCAGCGCCCAAGAGTTGGGAGAGTGGCGGGGGGTCGGAGGGCATCATCCACCTGCACCGATCCTGGCCAGGCCGATCCTAGGCCCAGGATCTGCCTGGCCAAGAATTGGTGTAGGTGTACAGTTGGTGTCCTCCCAGGAGGAATGAGGAGGATGAAGAGGAGAAGAAGGAGGAAGGAGGAGGAGGAGGAGGAGGAGGAGGAGGAGGATCTGCGAGAGGTGGAGGAGGACGAGGAGGAGGATCGGCGAGAGGAGGAGGAGGAAGAAGAGGAGGAGGAGGAGGAGGAGGAGGAGGAGGAGGAGGAGGAGGGAGGGACATCAAGGGACCGAGACCTCCGACGACTCGATTTTTTCGAGCTGCCGGCCCCCTGACCTCTCGACCACCGTTCCGCGGGCCAGCTCTTAACCCTGAGCTGCCTTTTGACGGTCCTGGGGCATGGGTCAGTCTACAGAGACCGAAATATACGAATAACATCTGGCGCGACGTGCTCAATCCACCACAGGTGTGTGGATGCAACGCAGGAGGATATGAGAGTGCGGAGGGTGTGAGGAGCAGGAGGAGACGCAGCAGGAGCAGCATCTGCATCTGCATCTGCATCTGCATCTGCATCAGCATCAGCATCAGCATCATCATCATCATCATCATCATCATCATCATCATCATCATCATCATCATCATCATCATCATCATCATCATCATCATCATCATCATCATCATCATCATCATCATCATCATCATCATCATCATCATCACCATCATCATCAGCAACAGCATCATCATCAGCTTCATCATCACCACCATCATCATCCCCTTCCAACGTGTCCCTCCTCTCCCACCTCTACCCCATCCCCTCCCCAATCCCGATCCCCCCGATGAAGGGAAATGTGTGCCTGGCGGTCAGCTGCGAAGAGTAGCGCAGGCTCTCAGAGATGAGGAGGACGTGACTCCTCTCGTGCCCGCTGCCCGATTCTGCAATGTGGAATCTGGTGACTCTGCTTCGTGTGCGCTGCATGGTTTGAACTCTCCTCATGCCTGCGCCCCGCAAGCTCGAAGAGATAGAAGCCGCAAAGCTTGCTTGCCTCTTTGGTTATATGTGTGCCTTCTGCCTCGAGCGAGCGCCAACACTAGCGTGCAGCGGTGACAGGGCGAACTGGCAACAGTGTATCTTAGTGAAGTCGCGCCGACACGTCGCGCCGACACGTCGTTTGGACCCTCGTCGCCACTTGCTGTGGGCAGCACCGATCGCTAAGCCGTGGCGGAACCTGGCATCGATGCGTCAGGGTCGAATGCTTTTCGAATGCAGCCCTGAGCCGCAGCAAGACCCAGGTCTCATACATTTCAGAGACTACATTATGCATTGTGCATGAATGCCTGCGTGCTTTAGTTGGACTTGTCGCGTGATTGCTTTGTCCCCTCGGGTTTTCGGGCCTCGGTTGTTCGCTCGGTCGTTTGTCCCTCCGCCGTGTGTGTTCTCTGGCCCTCGCTCGCTCGTCTTTTCTGGCCCTCGTTCGGTCCTCGCCCCAGTAGCGTATGGGAGTCAGCGCTTGACTCTAACCCACGTCCCAGTAAAACCTTCTCATCCACCTCCTTATCCTCCCTCATCCCTCCTCCCTTCTCCGCCTCATTCTCCCTCCTCCCCATCATCCACCCTCCCTCTCATCATCACCATCAGCAGCGCCATCAGCCTCATAAGCATCACCATCACCACCACCACCACCATCAACAGCATCAACATCACCATCAACATCATCATCATCATCACCATCATCATCATCATCATCATCACCATCATCATCATCCTCATCATCTTCTTCATCATCATCACCATCAACATCCGAATCAGCATCAGCAGCAGCATCCGCATCAGCATCAACAACATCATCAACAATATCATAATCATCAGCATCAACATCATCAACAGCATCATTAACATCATCATCAGCGTCCTCATCTTCATCCGCATCCTCATCCTCATCCTCATCGTCGTCGCCTGCAGCAGCAGCAGCAGCAGCAACAGCACGATCACCATCACCATCACCACCACGACAACCATCATCGTCATGGTCATCATCGTTGTCATCGTCATCGCCATCACCATAGCCATCATCACCATCACCATCATCACCATCATCAGCATCATCATCAGCGTCATCAGCAGCATCATCATACTCATCCTCATCATCTGCATCCACATCGTCATCATTATGGAGAGAGCGTGATCCACCGCCGCTTTATTGTG